GGTACGCAGAAGGAATGAGGCTAGCATCAACCAATGTGCTAAATTCAAAGTGGAACCGAATTCAGCTTGCCTTGTTTGTGGTGGCCAATATGGCCATGCGATGTGCTGAGAATTTCTAGCTTCCAAGGTGCCTGATAGATGGGAATTAATAAAACAGAAGAAATGATGTTATGAATGTCTCGGCAGTGGTCACATGGCTGTTTTTTGCACATTGCATGACAGATGTAACCGCTCGGGTTGCAGGGGTCGTTATCACCCACTACTACGCCTGGAGCGCAATAAGGACCCGATGCTAAAAATGAGCAGCTGTTGTACTGCTTCTTGTTTAAGAAGGGAAATACAACTGGACATAATACCTATGCGTCTACAGGGTGCTCCGAGATCCATTGAAACTTACGCGTTGCTGGATAGTGGGTCAGTTGGAACCTGGGTACAAAAGATTTGTTACCTAAAATTGAAATTTTCGCCCGAATCCTTAGAAATGATGACACTGGATGGTGTTGTTGATTGACGCAAACTCTGTTAGTTTCCAGTTGAGCTCATTGAGTGATGATGATGTGATCAATTCCATTATGATTGACGAAAGAGCTGGCTCGCTTGAGTAACTAACTAACCAGAAAAAATCAATTGCCCATATGATGGTGGTGGCTGGCATGTTTTTTAACCATACCGACACATGACCAGTTGGGGAATGGAGGTGCAGGAGAAATCACTCGAGGGACTATCCCACATAGAAGGAGTATCCGGGAGACGGTTCTACGAATGACCGTATTTCTTGACCAGTTCTTTCTTACTCTAGTTCATTCAGAATTGAATCTGTTGTGCTTCTGTTTCCTAGTTACTTCATTTTTACGTTCCTATTGTCTTACCGGGATTTACCATTAGCATATTTCATAGACCATATCCTCGACCTTAGTTTCGGTGCCTTTCATCGCTATATCTACGTCAAAAAGCTGTTAACTATTGCATATTTTCCTAATCAGATTGTCTTCGGCACCTTTTAAAAGACTACGATGCACTGAATAAGTAATGAACGCAGTGAGTAGGCATTTATTTCTTTGTCTACTTATCTTTTTAATTCTCCCATTTCAACATTACTTTTTCCATGCATAGTCACGCACGCCCTGTATAGCCACCTACAAGTGAAGGTTGAAAGGAATGCAACTGAGCTCACCCAGCATCTCAACCAACTGGGAGCCCAAAACACAGCTTGAGTAGTTCAATTGCATAGTTAGACCTAGGAATGTCAAGACATCACGCTATGTCTTAACTACCTACGATGTGAATACTGTCTACATTATTCTGCTAAAGCAACTTGAGTTTGATGATTCCCTGGAGTTCACATAACATAGCCTTTTTTCATTTCCACAACTCCCTAACTTTCTACCAAAAATAGATCCAAATGTATTACTCTAATTTATTAAGTAATTTTGCGTATTACTCATCTGATTTTGATCGGTGACGCTGCTTCATCCTTTTCATACTCCTTCCCCCCACCAAACCGCCGCCATCATGGCACCACCAAGCTGCACCGAAAACAACCAAATGAGAATGCCCGCGAACTGGTAGCATACGGCGACAAAAGTCCCAAATGAAAATATTCGCAAAAACATCCCTATTGTAACCCTGTAAAAACCCAAACAATTGACAGCCTCGCATGCCTGAGCATGTTGCAATGTAAATATGATCCGTCTCTTTGTGGGCTCAGTTTCTCGGTACCACGAGAAATATACCTTAATTGTGTGGGCTTACGGATTTACAACTGCCAGTGGGCGGCAAAGTAGTTGCTACGCCACCGGGTCAAGGAAATTAATGGGGCCGTTTCAATTTAACAAGACGAGGCAATAAGTATATAATCATGACTGAATTAAAGCCGTGGCAATTCCGGATCAACGGTCTGGCAAGATAACACAAGCCGTGATGAAACACGTGAAAACTGAATTTCGTGTAGTGGGAGCACATAGAAATTCGATTCTGTGCAGCCTTATCAAAATATGATCAAAAACGTGAAAAATCTATCTATGGCCTGTCAACACACCGAGTGTTTCTCAAGTTTTCACATGATATTGTGAAAAATAACGTAGAACTCACTGTAGGTCGGGACTCACAAATTTCAGATATCACTGTTAGTGGGTAATCGTTCTCGAAATCGAACAATGGAGTAATGCAGGCCGAACAGTGTTTGAACCGCTGTTCCAGACATTTCCCACTCGCCGTTCAAAGCACAGGGGATGGGGAACTCGCTTCAGATCTAGGACTACAAGCTTGTACTAGTGTCCGCCTGTGCCGCAAGGTATTCGCAAGTAGAACAATGGTCTCAGCATGGAAAAGTTACCTAGATGCAGAATGCGGCAATTCATAGTAAGGTCGACTGGTACCTGATCAGGATGTCCTGACCTGTCCTATTCGTATGGTAAGCCCCGCAAACTGTGGATGATCCTGGTAGCGACGTGTTGAATACGTTCGATTTTATGCGTTTCATCTACAGTGGTCGGGCAATAGACGGGCAAGCCGTACTCTAGCCTTGGTCTGATGATGTAGGAGAAGATGCGAGCGGCGATCTCTTCAGACCAGCTGCATTTGAGCGGCCATAGTATGCGTAGTGCGTTTCGGTGTAGCTCGTTCGCGTTGTCCACAGACTTCGAAAGGTAACGTGAGAGCAAGCCTAGGTCCTTCACGGAAGATGTGGGGTGTAGCAGTTGGCCGTCACCATTCTTCCACAGGCTCATGAACAACGACATGGATTGGTTTATCAGGAGGCGGAGTTCTGTAGACCACATGGAAAGACGGTTGAGGTCTTGCTGGAGTAGCCCGCAGTCGTCGGAGGTGTCGATCATTCTTCAGATCATCCGCAAACAGGACACACAGTAACAGAAGATGCCGAGGAAGATCGTTGATATGAAGTAAAAACGATATAGGCCCTAGCACCATGCCTTAGGGTACGCCGCTAGCCGAAGAAAACCAGTCGGTCAAGTGGCTATGGACTTGTACCATCCACTTTCGTCCAACAAGAAACTCGCGGATTCATTGATGCAGTCAGTCACCAACACCGCATACTCTCGGCTTGTGGAGGAGAACCTCGGACGCTTTACTGAAATCGATGTAGATCACTGCTTGCAACTACTTACGCCTGGTCATGAGTAGGTTGGTGGGGTATGAACGGATTTCTTCAAAAGCGCTCAAGTACCATTTATCAGTTAGATTTCTTTGATCATTTAAGAAGATTGACAGATTCTGGTAAGACCTGTATTATACTTTACTTAGACTCTACAGAGTTTCACATAGAACGCCTATAAATAAACTACACCTTTGTGATATCGCAGGCTCACTACTATAATAGTTAGAGGCTTACCTCACTGATCGAAAGCAGACAGTCAAGATAGGGATCTGTCGGAGACCAGAGATATTACTAGTGGAGTGCTAAAAGGTAGTGTTGTGGCGTATTAGCTGAAGTGTGTTTCGCACACTCAACTAACATGTACTGAAGATGATGATACGACGTAGTGTATTTGGTCCTATTCGTTTTTTGATAAATGTAAATGAGATTTTACCTGTAATAAGGTATGGTAGACTTGATTTGTTTGCAGATGATATAAAGATTTTGTGCACCCCTGAATCCCAATATCTGTCACTTATAACTTCGATCCAAAGTGACCTAGTTTCATTGGAAGAATGGAGTGTCGGATCTTCCACGAAACTTTCAATATCTAAACGCAGCATTATGTACTATGGATGCCTGGTTCTACCTGAATGTTTGTTTTTGCATGGAATCCCACTCCCTTTATGCAACCCGATATATGACTTAGGCCTCCGTTACTAAGGTTCATTGAATTTCAAATAAAAGTTGACTATACGGTAGCTAAAACACGACAGACTGTTGGAATGATATGACGCTTGTTTATAACAAGCACGTTAAGCTACTGTCATTCAAACTGCACGTCAGACCATTAACAAAATACTGTGCCAGCACTTGCAGTAACACTAGTAGATGCGACACAAGTGTAATCGAAACTACACAAAGGTCGATTACAAAATGAATTGTGGGTTGCACCCCTAACTCTACTTATAAAGGTAGATGCCATTTGTTGAAAATGGAACCACATGGCCTCGAAGATTAAGGCTGAACTTATGTCTATTATTCAAAATCGTTACATTCGGTCGTTATTTCAAGCATATTCACCGTATGACCTAAAAAACAAAAGCTATGTGATAAAGCAACCTCGTTGCCGCACACGTTTGCGGTACAACAGATGTACACACAAATATCCCACGCTATGGAATCGATTACCTCAGGCTAGTAGAAGTTCAGCTTCGCTTCGGACATTTGAGATGCAAGGAAAAGAGTAATTAACTGTTAATAAAAGTAAAGAACGATTTCGCGTTAGTTGTACAGACAAATGAGTATACAGGAACGGGTCTGATAAGATCTAAGCACTTGGGGATTTCGCAATACAGAAGTAGAGATAAAGATGGAGACAAAGATTTGTCGATACAACGTGAAACAGTGTGTTCTCAGCTAAGTAAACCGGCTCTGTCTCTCACTCCTTTCTCCCACATTGTTAGGTAGAAACTGCGAGTTGGCCGGTTGGCGAGGTGGTATAAAGGCGGGACGAAATTAACCGAGATTTGGGCCATATCAGTGGTTGCAGACCTTAACGGACATGGCGTAGTCGTGCAGTCAGTGGTTCACCTGCATTCGGTCTCTTGCAGCTAGCCGTCAACACTCTATCCTAGTTAATTATGCTCTAGCTTTCCAATCATCTTTGTGTTGTGTACAGCATTTTCTGCGCCGTTTTCATCGTGACTGTTACTGATTATCATTCTGGTGGCGCGAGTTATGGTGACTGGATCCACCGCATTTCGGTGACCAGATCATAGTTGTGTATCTGGACTGCACACTAGCCCGACCAGTGTGAGTTCATCAAAGTCCGATTTAGCTTGCGAATAATAACCGGTCTGGTCGTATTGCGTTCAGTACTAGAAAGGTTTCCGCTTCCAAGTTGCAACAAACACACCGAACTTTCGAATATCCAGTGCTCGGTACCGCGATTAGTGGTAATGCCACAAATATAGGCACAGGCACTAGGAATGGCAACAAAAGTTCTATTCCCATTAATCTCCGTGAGCTGAAACAACTTCCAGGAAGTCAACAAGATAGGTGCAAACAGAGGCACTCATGTCAAGTCAAGAATGTGCTTTTATGCACCCATGACGAGTGAATTTTCAGCCGTAGTAGCAAAAATGTGGATTGTTAGCGCGATACTTTTAAGATGCGACAACTCATAGTCACGATTTTTAGAGGCCATAAAGAATCGAAAATGCAAGGATTTGCCAATAATTGCTAACTTCTCAAGACAAATTTACTTGCATAGGAAAGAAGGAAGGACCAAATGAGATGGGAGGGGAAGTAATGAAAGTCACACTAAGGAATTGGTAAAAAAACAACCAACCAATGGAAGTCATAAGAGAGATTGTTAGCAGGAAGGCAGAAAGCGAGTTGGTTAAAATTCACAACTGGCTCCGTGAAGAATACAACATTAGGATAGCGATTGAAGTTGGTGTGGACAATTGGAAAACGTTCGCGTCAACACACAGAACACGAAAAGAGGGAAAGTAAGAAGGGGGCTAGTTGTGAAGTAGCCGTTTGTGTGAGTCCAGAACAAAACTAGGAGAGGAAAAAAACTATAAAAACGGTGTTGCGTAAAAAATTGAGCAACCTAATTCTCGGCTTCGGACTGTCCCCTGTCATAAACAGAATTAAAATAGCTACAGGATTGCCAGGGGAGTAAACAAAGAGGCAAAAGTTGACACAGTCTAAGAAATTCACGGACGCTGAGTAAATATGAAGGAGAACAACATGCGCGCTAACGATAAAAGTGAGATCGTCATTAGCGCCCATTACCATGGGGTCTGGGTTAAGTTCCGAGTACAAACCACACAAGGTCGAACGACCATGAACTGATGACACTAATGTGGACATAGGAAAAGTTTGCATAAGGGTGCAAATATCACTTTTCGACTAATGGGACGCTACTGCGACGATGAGCCAAAGCAACGAAATCTGTAACGGAGAGATCGATGGATAAACCTGTCATATAGGAGGGTAAATTAGAGGAGCGGTTAACTCCGTTGCCAGCAACATTCCAAGCGTCCGGTAGAGGGAAGGGATCCAGTTCAAAACCACGAGACTTTTTGGAAAGTGGCTCGTGACTCATAATCTCCTCACACAGTGTCTGAAGAATGTTGACAGAAGTGGTCCGTAACGATCGTACATCAGGTTTGTTCACGTACACATAGTGCACTGTGGGTGGTGAAGATGTGGCTGTGACAGGGTAAGTGAAGCTAGATGATTTTGCAGTACTGACAGATAATGGACCGGAGATTTTTGAGCGTGCAAAGTTGAAAGTCTTCTTGATGGCACCCTGGGTTTCTGGTAAAGAGCGCCGGCGCATTCCACGGGTGGTGATGAAAAAAGTCTGACAACCGCTACCAGGTGCAATGTCTCTTCCCGAAGTGGACTGGAATGACTTCAGCAAATTGCCCAGATGGAAGGTTACGTTGTGACTTTGGGACTGAAGAAGTAGAGGGAAACAAGTGAAGTTAGGCATAGTGAGGGCTCAGTGGAAAATAAATACAGAGGTATATGTGTGTGCACATGGTTGAACATACGGATCACCAAGAGACTTAATTAAAGGTTGCGAAAAGGAATCGTCAGTATTCCATAAGTTGAGTGAATAACAAGTGTCCACGTTTGTTTGCTCGTGATCTGAATCGGAAAACAACCCGATTCTTACTGTCTGACGGACTGCGGCGTTGTTTGGGGAGTAAAGGCGGCCACATCACGTCAGCTCAGTGCAGATGAGATCAGAATAGGATTGCAGTGTCACCGAATACGTGTGCACGCTCCAACCAGGGGCTCTGGGCTCTCGGTGCCTGTGCAACATGTTACTGCTTTACTGGTGGAGAGACGAGAGCTGCCTCAGTGGCAGGGTGACAAAAATAGCAAAAAGCTGATTTATGACACTAAACGGAGCGGAACGAAAGGGCGGACATCATAATTGTGGGCAAGGTGTGGGTACTGGAGGAGGATGCAAGAAACTGTAACCAGAACTGAGTCAGTGGCAAAAACCCAGAGCAAATGTATCACTAACTCTTCAAATCACAAAAGACCGAAGTGAGGACACTCTGACATTTTTGTCTACAGGATGAAAAGGTCAGTGACATCATCACCGTTACCACCACGAGATGCCAACAGGACAACGATTGCGAGCGAAGTTGAGCTCGTGTTAATCACCCTAGGCGCGAAGTTCCGCATGAAGACACTAGAGGGCAGCAACTTGAGAAACAGTCATCCACATGCCGACTTAACCAACATACAGAGTGGAAGAAAAACGGAACATAAAGAGAACGGCAACCGTGCAACAAATTTCCACATCTGAAATTGTGCATACCTTCGACTCCGTGGTTTTCTTTTTGGGTGAACCTTTCTCCTTGAGAACTTTTCGTTGTTTTTTCTCCACTTGGGGGTCAAGTGAGGGTCTGAGTGGTGCGACCACTGAACAAGATGATGAATGCGTTGTTTTTGGCTTGTTGATTAAAAGTAACTGCTTCTGCCACATGGAAAGGTTCTGTTCCAAATTGCGCATAAGCTTCTGGGTCAGCTCAGTTTGGAAAAACTCGTTCCAGTTGACAAACAACGGTCTGACAAAATGCTCAATGAAGCCTGATTAAATGTCAGTAGACACGTTTGAACAGATTAAAGCAGATGAGAGCGAGGACGTAAACGCTGAATAAATCGAGGGCAGCGAAAGAAACAAGGGAGGCAGATACGTTGGTACCATACGAAAACACGGCATCCTAAAGTTGTAAATTTCCAGGTTTAGTGCTGCTTCAAGTACCGACATTAGAATCTTACAGGTGTGTAGAGTGAGTGCAGAGCAATTGAACAAAAAGCAATTATCACCTGTATGCCGCATGCGTAACTCCTATAGGAAAAAACGGGTGAATTGAAAAGTGAAGTCCTCGTAGTCACAAGCCAAGACCCCAAATAGACGGTTTAAATAACGGAGCGCACGTATCAAAGGAATTGTGTGACAGGCGTGCGAAACTTCAGCTCCTACTCGATGTTGAATCAGAACTAGCATTTGCTGATGCAACTATTTGACGCGAGACGATAATTTCAAAAGCAGCGGGAACACAACCGAACGGTTTCGCAATCAGTGAGCAAACGTAGCCCGACCTTTGTACCACAACCAGTGTAGACGGGATCACAAAGTAACGGAGTCCCAGTTAAGTAAATACGGATGTCACAAGAAGTGCTCTATCGGATCACGATCATGAGGTTGTCAAGTTGAGCGCTAATCGGACTGCCTCCGACTGAAGAGTGAAAACAAAACCAAATGCATAGTGCAACCTAGGTAATGAGGAGAACACGTGTGAACGCATTGATCAACATAACAGAGATGGGTGGCGGAGAGCGATGTCCTTAGTCCGGACGCGTGTTGGAACCGATCGAGTGACCGATAACTCCACAAACATCAGTGATTAAAAGCCCATGAGGCCTTTCTTGGAGAATGTCGATACTCCGGTGGCGTTTAGTGGTTAAAGTGGCCAAAAATAGTTGGAAAAACTCTACAGAACTGGACAAACGGGTAATCACGGAGCGACTACTGGCCAAACGTTCACGATTCGGAGAACCCGGGTTAGAAGAACTACATGCCTGAAAAGTAATGTACTTAAGTACCGCTGTGCGTGACCCCGGTGACGTGCCCTGGCTGGTTTGCATAAAGTGAAAATGATAACGAAGACTAAGTTGAGTTAAGGAGCATTAAGGTATCAATTCCTGTGTTTTGTCGGAATCAGTAGAGGTATTGGCTGGCAAACGTATGGGTGCCTAAGTATAGACACACTAGGTGATTGGGATGACTAGCCGTTCAAACTTCACTCTTCCGAGTAAATCTGTCATATACGAATAAGATAAGACTAGCTCACCGATTTGAATTGCAGGTACTGAGGATGAATACCTGTCGCAGCCTTTGACAGGAGTGAGCGATAGTCGGTGACGCTCCTGATCACCTTGACTGAAAAACTCCTCGCATATTTTATGAGCCCACTGCCGACAGGATTGCCAAGGACGACAGGGGTTGCTAACGTCAGCACATTTCAGAGACACCTGCGGAAAGATGTAAACCTTGTAAGCAAGCCAATTGGAAGCACGACTAATTGATATGGTTGCGGATATCGGTCGAGCAAAAGTGATGGTGCGTCAGTGTCCTCAAACACGGAAGTTGGTTCTAAAGCGATTTCACCACAAACAAACAGAAACAGTACGCCCCCAAAGGAATCACCAGCTTTCGCTGATCCCACTTTCGATTATCACTGGAGTATGGTCAAACAGAGCCGTAGTGATGCACTCGCTGAAGTACGCTTGGCAACTTGAGCACCGCCGTCATCATCAGTAGCACTTTGTACCGTGATTTAGTGTCAAGTCCATTTCAAAGAAAGAGACTGCAGAGACAAAAACTGATAGATATGGCTCATATACCATTGATCCCGTATACATGAGCAGATGGTCCACGAAGCGGAACTTTGCTCCCAAACAAGTAGAATTACGAACTGCACTTGAGAGATACTGGTTATGATAACGGTCGGTTTATAAACAATGTGTGATAAAATCCCCTTATAGGGCCAGATCATGAGGCACACACACATAAAGAAGTATCGTTCAGAAGCAAGCGATAACAAGAGAAAATTCCAGGGTTACTGTAACATGGAGGTATGTGTTGTCGAAGATCACCAGCGCGTATCAGAAACGCCGTAAGTAGATGTATGTTAACTTGTAGATAAGATACTAAGTGGCTGCTACACATTCCCCACTCAAAAGTAAAGGAGAGGAAAAGATAAAGGTGAGTGAAATTGCAGCCCAGCAACCTGGAAATATATATATATATATATATATATATATATATATATATATATATATATATATATCTGTCAATCGCATACTTATACGATGCGTCAAAATGCATAAGAGCCGGATAGTAATTGTCTGTGAGCTTCACTCTCAGCCTCCACAGGTGGATGGACGTTTGGAAGAAATAAGAAGCTGAGGGCTCCAAGTGTTGGATTCCTTTCGAATTCGATGACCACTTGAAAACCGAAGAGGAAAATAGCTGAGCTAAAAGTGCGATGGAGAATAGGAGTAAGTAATCTGAACACCCTTGATACTCAGCCTTTATGTGGCCCATATACACACACAGGAAGCAATGATGAAAAGGAAATTGAGATTACGGCTAGAGCCATACCAAATCCGCCTAGATGGGGTTCCGAGATCATCCATTTGCAGGCAGCAACAGTAAATGGAGTTTGGCTACTGCATCGAAAGTATACGATTAGCTAACTGTCACAATTAACGTGATGGTTAGATTAGTCCGAATGTCAAATAACGGGGGAGAATAGTCAGTTCGCATCGCCTGTGCTATGAGATCAGACCCACGAGCATAAGAGAAGCTGAGACACATTGACAATCAATGCGGCGGAGTGTATGTGAACGAGTAGTGCAATCGACATCCAATTCACCCGCATGTGGCCAAATGCAAAGACCTCTGATTTACTCATCACAAACGCAATACATTCCTCATTCCATTGCTTTAAGTTTTCAGTGGCATGGTGATGTCAGACTCATATTATCGCAATTTCGTGTAATAAAAAGAGCTGAACTGAGCAGTGCTCAGTCTTATGCGATCCTTGGTAGTGTCCGAAGACCGCTTCGGATGGGTTATGTCGCACATAACAATACAAAGTAACGATGGGCCAGTAGTAAGTAATGGTAGACAAAATGATTCGGCGACATGTCAAGAGGGGAGCCAAGATAAACGAAGTAGCAAAAAGCAAAAGAAGGTAGAGAAGGAGAAGTTATCGCATGCTATGGGGTTCCAGTGAGCAACTTAGTATCATTCGGAAGAAATGCCACTTTCGACCAGGCTAGAGTGGGACCACCCTGGTCCAATGAAGCATAAAACGTGTGAAGCAAGGGCTACTGGCGAATTACAGTAGCTAGGAAGTAGGAACCGCATGGAATATAAATCAGCCGCACCTGTATTCAGAGAGCATAAATAAGGAGGAGCGCGAAATGGTAGGAAGGCCGAACAGTCGTCACTGGTGTGTGTGTGTGTGCAACAGACAACCGACGCAATGGAGCACAAAACTAGAGGATGAAATATGGGTGCTATTTGTCGTTTGTGTGACAGCGCATGTGACATTCTGCGCGAAAGTATTCATGTGAAGGCAGTAGTACCTCGTCGCGCATTGGCTCATAGCGACAAAAGAGTATGGTGGCGCAACGAGAGGAGGATAGTAAGTCGCAGGGACACAGAATCTGGATAAACATTTGTCATAGGCGGTGCTGTTTGAAGGAGGCACATACCTGAAGCAAAAGAATGCGGTCCTCGGCGGAAAATGAGGGAAGGGGTTGAGCTCTCTTCGCTTCAAGAAATCGCTGAAAAATTTAGACAAATGGCAATTACGCGGAGTAGCAGTACAATTGCCTCAAAGATGTGATTCAGAGGCATGTTTGATAAAACGGGACCAGAACGATCGGAAGCAAAATAAACATCAAATGAGCAAAGCTCATTGCAACAGGAGCGAATTCGTGAGGAATGGTCAATCAAGGCAGAAAGTGCCCTACATGAAACAACCAGTTAACGCCGGAGAAAGCAAGTTGCGACTTCAAGCGGAACCGCAATGGAGGGCTTCTTCCTCTAGTGGAATATGCACGTGTCATTTGGCTCTGCCAAATCATCGGACCGACAGGTGGAGTGGACAAACAAACAGACGGAATGAAAACGCTCGCAGCCTTCCAAGTGCAATACGACGGGGCTATAGAATTCGCGTCACATACAATCAGAATGGGCCCACAGCTTTCCTTCGGTAAGACACAAAGAACGGAACGGAGATAAGAAAAACACCGAACAAGTTGGTTCAACCTTGCTCTAATGTTTCGTAATACACTGCGACGGGCGTCAGAGAGCCAAAGAAATAATCGCCGATAAACAGATCGCCGTGATTATCGTTGACAAACAGTGCAAGAAATTTGACAAAAACCGGAAAATATCAAAATAGCCCCTTCCGATGTGTATGGGAAAATCACACGGACAGGTAATACCACATCGTAATCGATTTAAGTGAATGTCGTCCAAACGGACACCGATCAGCGGGTATGAAAGGCGGCAAGTAATAGGATAGGACAAATGTTTGATTTTTTTCATCGACTTCCAGCAAGCTAATGGTACACAATCAGACTCCACGAGGAAAATGGGAAGTGAAATGTCAATCTATGACCGACGACTACCGAACAGAGCGGAGAAGAGGAGAAATATTGATCCGGAATTTGACACAGAGTGTAAAACGCGTACCGAGAACTTGTCCTTGTAGAACGCTTGTTGTGCCACATCAGTGGCATGGACCATTTTCAAAATGCATTCCCGAACAGTGATCCTGTGGGACAAATAGGAGACACAATACGTAAAAGTCAATTGCACATCTGTTCAGAAACATGAATAGGAAACGTGAAAGACCACATCGGTCGGCGGAAAGGATGCAGACAATTGGATGTATCTCAGCAGTTGATGGAAATAGTAACCACCACATAGGCTACCAAAAAGTGCATGTATCTGAAAATCAATAATGACCTACCAATCAGCCTGAGTGAGGTTCTTCGCTAGACCAGTTTGATGGAGAATCGTCAAGCCGACTCGCGCATGGTGCTGCTCCAACACGGAGGTGGACTGGAAACAGACGTAAGAACCGAGGAAAAGGGAATGATTTCATGTATAAAGAGGCAGCACTCCGTCTCCAACCGGGTGGAGAGCGGTCAAAAGTTATTCTGAGTTCAAGAGGGCTAGTGAACAGGAACAGTAAAAGAGGTCTGCACTGAAAACTCATAACTGAGACTTACATAGGGTGAAATAAGGTGTGGTTGTTTGAGCATACAGGAAAGTGGCAAAGAGCAGGCGGTGTAAAGTTGCAGAATCGGAAGATTCGAGACGTCAACACAAACAGGTGAAAGTCAAATGACGACCAAGTAGGAGTTCATTTAGACGGAAAATGCTCGAAGAAATACTGGGACACGCGACCACTAGTCATCAATCCACTGACAAAGCGTAGCGTTGCAATAAGACACGATGAAGCATCTTCGTGCCACTGTCGCATGATTAAAAATGCGACCACCTATTTCCACCGTTGCCCAAGATCAAAGTAACGGACAGGATAATCATAGAGTATGGATACTGGATGGAAAGTTTTAGAGGGACTAACACTTACGAAAGGTGGGGGATATCTTTTTGTAGGATGGCTGTAATGTGCACTCTTAGGCAACTGAATCCATCCACGCGAAATCCGAAAGTGATGTTGCACAACTCCCTACTTAGGCTGTTGCTGGATGGCAGTCCGAAAATTGGATCATAAAAGTACAAGGCAGTCATAAACACCTTAGTAGAGAAATGTCTGTTTACGACTAGTTGCAAGATGCATTGAGGGGAACATTTCAAGTGTGTCGATCGGAATCGCCGTTTATTGTTGAAGAGCCAATAAAACTTAAAAATACTCTGCATTCTTCATGACCACTTCTGAGGCACTTTGGTCTGCATAGTCGAGCACACGTCTGGAACCATAATGCAGACAGGAAAAAGGTAATTACTCAAGGGTGGTTAGGTGATTGGTATAAATTAAGTGTAATCAGAGGAAACTTCGACAAAGTAGATAGACCACTGATCTGCGACGCGAACCACCGGTGAAAGTGCCGCCAAAGTAACGAAATGAGAATGAACCGGGATCCATAAAAGAGCAGCGTAATAGAAATAAACGAATAGTGTCAGCCAGTCGCGCGTGGGCTGAGTATACTGCGAGGACGCCCACCCGTAAGCGGATTCGAACCAGGGACCTTATGGTTGCAAACCAGGTGCGCAGACCACTCGGCCACCGCCCGACAGGTAATAAAGGATAATAACAAGTTTCCAACCGCTTGGATTTCGTTTGGTAACGAAAGTCTGACAACCAACTCGACATGGATGTAGGTCAAAATAATTTGAAGCACTGGTAGCTCGGGATTGGTCCACCGAACTTGATAAAAAGGTTGCACAGGTTTCACCACCACGTGAGGTGGCATCGTCAGTGCGGTTATGCGCGGTGGGCAATCTTGCTGATCTCTTCCAAGATGTCACTTTGAGGAGTCATTACCCGCTCGTGGATAATGGATGGACGGTTCAACCAACAAAATTGTTCATTGCACATCACCACACTGACAATGTCACTTAGCATAGTGGCGAGACGTATGCAACCATTTTATCAACGGATGAAGGTGTTGCAATTGAGGTGAAATCTGCCATAAGACAGTTTGCGGGGAAAGAGTGGGAAGCACGATACCAGGGACTTGAACGTCATCTAACCGATGATAAAAGTGTAGACCTGGCAACGCCATTGATAGTGTGGTAGGATGGTAAGAAGGAGAAGTTATGTTCACTGAGGTGTCCGGCGTGATGATAATTGCAAGGCGTTTGGTTAATATTGTCCTCAGCTTACGTATAGACTACCGACTAGCTGTCTGCCAACTTTGTCTGGTCACGGGTGGATTCGCAAACCAGTTACAAATAGGTTTTCTCTACATGGTTACTTTTGGTGATAATTAACAGACATCAGCGACTAGCAACCAGTAGTTGTTCAGTGACTTTAATGTGGATATCGCAAAGGGGAAGCGGGATCATTAAGACCATCTAAAATGCTCTTTTAAAACAGAAACTGGACCTATAGCTATGTTGCGTCACATAAGCAGCAAAATAGCCGATAAACTGATTTCACTGGCCCTGTGCTGCGAAATAACAAACACAAATAACAATCTTGCGCTGAAAATGTGCAAACTATATCCCAATGATGATTCCCAACTAAGCCGAACACGTCAGCGGAGACTAGGCAAGACATTGAGAGAAAGAGAGAGAGAGATGCCGTAAGTCCGTTGGCGTTTCATCAAACAGAATTTTAGTTCAAAAGTGCAGAGAAAACCAACACAGTGTTTAGTGAATACGATAGTATAAAATATAGCCATAAGGTGACAAAAGATGGTCTCGCAATGGTTACGAGACCAAGGGCGGTATCAATGCCAGTCGCGAAGAGTCGACCGGGACCTCCGTCACGGCTGCGTTACTAACCCATTATCAGTCAAGAGATATACGTAGCTGATGCATGCCCCGCCATCTTGTGAACCGAGATAAAGCAGGAAACTAGGGTCACAACAGAAATAGCAGCATAGAAACTCAAGACTCCTTCTGAGAAGGGCGATGATGATGATGGAAGAACGCTCCATATGTATCGCAAAGTGTTACTAGATCGGTAGTCAAACCTGAGCAATAGTCATGTAGCGAGCTCGACATAAGCTACTAAGTGACGCACGTGATCTGTTTTAACAATTGAACCTGAATTTACCCGGAGACTTGAATTCCCCCTCCAATGGAAGATAAAGCATTCCGAGTATTTTTCGGCATAGAATCTGAAGTGTTAAGATCAGACACCCAACTCAGCAGGTAAAAGAAACAAACACCTCTTTATTCCTATCGGCAACAGTTTCACTCACCTATTCTTTCGCAAACTGGTGTCATAGATAAATTTGACATCATGTGCATGTCTACAAGGCTGCTGTTTTCTATAATTCCCCTAACAGTATAAAGGTTGCGGTTAAGGCTAGAAACCGGTTGAAAATCAGACACTATGAGGCCCTAGGGAAAAGCAACAAACATTCTGGTGGCATGGGTTAGCATACAACGAGGCGTCAAGGCGAAATTACCACTGACAAAAAATCGACAAGCGAAGCATGTAACTTCAACGTAAGTCTACGCTAATGGACAACGTGCACAAATGATGCAGTTAGAGGACGGAGCGACTGTGTGCGAATTTCTCGACACGCGGTAGTACGACACACTGCGCGTTCATGATGTCTGAAAGACGGCAACAAGCGTTGAAACAAGGGGAAAAAGAGTCGGATGACATCCCAGTATGTTGCGTGAGAGAGTTTAAAACTGCTATCATAAGAAGAATAACCCGGGTAGTACATAGTACAAAGGCGGTAGCAATGAGAAAATTGGGCACTTGGAGACACTACAGCGGTAAAGATGGGGAGGCTTAAATCAACAACCAAAATAGGAGCCGCTGCTGCAGGTTCGCGCACCAAGCAGCACATGTTGACACCGGTACAAACTAGTGGCACTGGATTTAAGGCACATCGCTCACTCTCCCTGCTTCGAGCGCCAAGTGGTGAAATACTGGAATAAATTGCCGGAGACGCTAGTCGAGGCGAAATCGGTGTCGGAATTTAAGATTCCTTGACGCCCACTTTGCGGACTACAGGTATGGGGAGCGTATTGCACCCGGATAAGATGTAGTGCAACTGCAATATGTTGCCACCGCGCAGGAATCAGCGATGTGATTCCGCGCAAGTACCCGACCCACTTACGATGGAGCAACACAGATTGTTAACTGCTCGCTTTCTATTCTCAGTATTCTCGCTAGACGCTATATGCATAGCATTTGAAACTAAGAGAGGCTATATATTTTTATGTCACTCGTGAGTAGCAGGATTTTAGTTATAATTTTTAGGGTTTTCATCTCAGCAGTTCACAAGCTACATAGCACAGCTTAGTCCAGAAAAGCATCAGGTGCGTTTCGCCCTATTGGGGCTCATTAGTGAAGCACATTCCATCGGTCCCCTATTGGGGATCGAAACCATGATCGCTAGAGGCAATCGCAATTGAGGATGAGATCACGAACCGTGTAGCAAAAGCTCGGGGCGCTTTTGCTAACCTTCGCCACTCATGGCGCCGGCGCGACATCACTCTCGCCCTGAAGGGTAGAGTGTACAATGCAGCGGTGCGTTCGACCCTACTGTACGGTTGTGAAACCTGGCCGCTTAAAGAACCGGACCTGAAGAGGCTAATTACGTTCGACCACCGGTGCCTTCGTAAGTTAGCTCACATCTGGTAGGAACACCGCGTGAGCAACGAGCGTGTTCGACGCCTTGTTTACGGCACAGGAAAAGGAAATGAACCGCTCAGCACCGTCATTTCACGCACCAGACTCCGATGGCTGGACCACGTGTTATGCATGCCAGCCCACCGACTCCCGCGACGTGCGTTGTTTGCGCGCCGGGGGTGTGGATGGAAGAAGAGGAGAGGTGGCCAAGCGATGACTTGGTCGAGAGGAATGAAGGCCCTCACTTCTGAGCAGGCCTCGGTTGGAGCGTCTCGGCTCCTTGGTTGGGGTCCGAAAGACGATGAGCACGTTTGGTTGAACACACTTGCTTATATGGCTAGGAGCCGACCTCAGTGACGTTCGTGCTGTGAGTTTCTTTGTCCCACCCCATCCCTCTTAGCCTCCCCCTCTAACCACGATCTCATTACTTAGCCACATATAATTTTGCATAGTATTTTTGATGCACAATAGCCGGCTGGTAGCTTACCGGAACGATGCCCATCCGTTACCGGTATCTCAGCCGGCTTGCACCAGTTGCAATTTTTTCCCCTTTTTTCTGTGTATCGCGGCACAGTAGCTGAGGTGTTTCCCACCTCTAGCTAACGTGTATGATGATGATGATGATGAGAGGCAATCGCCAATAAGCCAGCAGCTTAAGCCAGTGGGCCATGGAGGACATTGGTTGGGCTACATACTTTGCAAGCTAACTGGGATATAGCACAAGCTATCTTTGTCATTGTCAGTGGATCGGTTACGAGGTCATTACGTCGTCGGACGGCTTTTCGCGCTTTATTTGACAAGCCAGTTTGCATCGTTCAGCACTTCGTGCAGAGCAGATTTTTCGTGGTTATTTTTTGTCAAATTCAGTGTTATTTGCGATTCTGAAGTTGTTTATTGTGTATTAGTTTCGTGTCCGTATATTGTACTCTGGTACTTGTCGCGTGTACTTATCGTTCACTTTATTACCTTTACCGTCACATCTGCTAACCTATCCGCAATGGCGGAGCTGACTGTGTGTGTGGCACTTGTTGAAAATAGTTTGGCATAGAGCCAATGCTGTTACGTGCCTCATGTGTGGTGTGAATTTCCACAGTTCGTGTATTGGTTTGTCTTTAGATCAGTTTAAACTACTGCCTGAAATTCAGCATGACTTTGTCCAAATAATGTGCAAGAAATGCCAAGCCACTGCAGTCACAAACTGCCGAGAAGCCGCGCGAGACTACAAGACGGGCGAAACGTTCCATAGGGAGGAGCTCCGTAGGTTCATCCAAGCAAGCGGAAACCAAACCTCTCTATTTTCGAAGGAGCCCAGCTGCACACCGGCTGCACGCTCTCCAGCGCGATGTCCACCCGTTGCTGGAGACTCAGCTGGCGTGCCTGCGTTGTATACTACGGACACCAGCATAACGGGCTAGAGCACGATCCATCTTCCACTGTCACTGACAGTGGCTAGCCAGCTACGCAAGTAACAAGAATTTATTTATCGTTGAGCCAAATACATATATCGAACGGAAGGAAAGAATTCATAGATGGGAAACCTGCTGGAAATCGGAAGGTAGAGAGATAGTCGTGAAGCAGGTGTTAGAGATCAGAGTGAATACGAATTAGTCGGGCCAATTCGAATGGGGCCGATCGAACAAGGGCAGACTGCGCAAATAAATAGGCGTGGAACGAGAAATAGTAAAGTAGCACCAGCCTTACGTTGTACAATTGGACCAGAAAATTTTCAGTCTGCTCGAGGAAACTCTGGTTGGTTCCTGGATGATCGGCATCATGACAAAAGGCTGCCATAATGCTCCCAAAAAGCTCGGCCGGGGACAGCAAACGAAGAAGCTGCATGAAAAAATTGGAGGCGGCAATAAAAGTTACCCTTTAGTTATGAAAAATCAAGACGGTACAGCAGGTACATTGTGCAAAAAGTGATTCAGGCAAGTGGGGTGTGGAAAAACAAAACCGACTGATGGCATTCTCAGTGCAGTTAGAGACAGCGTGCACGCTGCATTTCACTGCACTGAGGATACCGCCTCGCATGATAGTGAAACGTTTGCAGTCAAACCGCCAAGCTTGGAGAACAAATGAACAATTGAATCATCAACCCGAGCTATCAGTACTCCGAAACATTGTAAGTGACAGAAATGAGCAGTCACGGCTTCGAGAAGAGCACATAATTCCCTCTAATTCATGAGGCCATTGATTGGTGTGAGATTTTCCTGCATATGCTGATCCTACCTTGAGAGTCGACTGGCAGTTTGCGACTTGAAGTCACTAGGAGACTTATCAAGTTACGTACAGGGCGACCTAACATTCATTAGGCAGCAAACGGATACCATACTGTCGCTTTGTAGAAAAGGAAGATGGCTGTACGAGCATGCGATCAAACAATTGTTTAGATAGAAATCGCATGGGTGTATGAGCACGGTTCATAGCGGATAACCCACCAATAAGGTCATCGTAGCCGGCTCAGCACCTGAGGACGGCACGAGGGGAGTGCCGGCCGAATTCGGAAAGCATATCTACATAGTACTATTCAGTTCGGAGACACAAGGTGTCTTGGTGATCGTTAACGAATTGAGATGCATAGCCGAGAGGCCTGCGCGTTTGAGAGAATCGCGCAGCACCATGGGACACTTTTGGCAGACTGGAGTTCACGGTGAAACGCGGTATTATCCTAAATGTTCCCATGCTTGGAAGCCCGGGTCTAATCAACTCTATGGTGCTAGCTAACATTGCCCACAATTCCTGTCCAGGTTTCATGAAACAAAATTTGAATCACATCCAACCAGAGAACTACTTATCACTGTATCTAGTGTAGATAGTACATCGCTCGAGCTAACGGAGACTGTCCACAAGGATTTCATGCAATATGATCGCGAATGATCCAAAGCTATCGAGTAGTTCGATTGGTTGACACATAGTTCACTGCACCGTGTGTGAAAATCCGCATGAATCATTTAGAATAATAAGCCGACACAGCGCCGCTCGTTTGGTTCAGTTTACTGTGGTTTCGGCAACTGAAACCCACTCTGTTCAAACAGACCGGTTTCGTAGCCAGTCTTGGTGAGGCTAGTGAACACGTTCCTCCAAGCGGGAGGCCGAACAAAGTCAGTTGAAGTTTGAACCACCACTGATTCACCAATTACACTTATTTGCAGAATAGGAGAGATTCCGAGACCTTCTCCCACAAACGCAGTGTAATGAATCTCACCAATAAACTGCTTGAAGCGGTTTAGATAGTGATGTCGGACAACCGGTTTTTAAACGCTTCTTTGACTCTTTAAAGTGAAATAGGGAGCGTCACGCCCGATTTGATTATTCAAGTAGCTGCATTTAAGGACATGAGTCCTCCGGCCTCACGAATGAGGAAAATTTGAATGCACTGTTAAACTGGGAGTCCTACAGTACCACAGCAGTATCCACAGGATTGGAGAATCGGCTATGCAGCATGACACTGTGAGTGATAGTCAACTGAATCATCCCGTCTGAAAACTAAAGGCGTCTTCGGGATTTCCAGTACTGACGAATGACTGGCAAGTATGGTATGTAATGATAGACTATGCGTAGCATAAAGTGAAGTCCGGAAGGAAACTAAGAAGCCTGTGATGATTTGGACGCATGCGTATTCTCTCTTAGTTTTCATTAAGTGAAATCCTGATAACCGTTTGGAGCCAGAAGTTCGATGAACCAATTATGAATATCGTTGTCAGCACAATCGACGGTGGAACATAAGTACTCCGAGACTGGTGCTTCGCTAGCGCACAAGACAATCCCGTCGATAGTAAAGAAGGGGCGTGCAAGATGTAGTAGTTGAGCACAGAGCCGAGGTAATTGCTTTTCCAGAACACAGTTACAAACAACTGGTCATCGTGTAAAAAAGTGGGATAGCTAGCCAAGAGCTTTCATTACCCCGCAACAAAAGCGACCATACTCCTCGGTGGCACATAGGCCTTAATCACAGTCAGATTGGTAGACGGCAGCGGACATGCTGATGGTGCCGCCGGTTCAGCGGGGCGAATCCAGTTTCGCCTAGACAAGGAAAGTTTGTTCTGGAATTTTCCGATGATGGGAACCGTCACATCGACTCTTTCAACAGCATGTCGGCGATAAGGCAAGAAATAGCAATAATTCTGGTGAGTGAAATTAGTTTTCAAAATTTCCCGAAAAAGTTCGAACTGGTGCGTCTGAAAGTGGACTGACGAACAGTCGAACAAAGCTATGATAGCTCTCCGTGGTGCGCTTCTTTGGCTCACAACTGCATGAGTTGAGGCAATCTTTGGCTGTCCCCGAGAACTCTCTCCATTTCCATAGGCCATACTTCCCGCTCCCGCTGCGCATCAGATCTAAGACGTCGTTCCGGGGTGACGAGAATACCTTGATCACGCGGTGTTCCAACCAAACCTGAGTTGAGCTGCAAAGGCAGCGATGATCGAACGTAGCCTTTTTAAGTCGGACGGCTAGATGGGCCAGGCTTCGCAACCACGCAGGAGGGCTGTACGCACGGACGAATGGTAAACTTCGCCCTTCAGGGCGAGAGTGATGATGCGCCTGCGTCACAGGTGGCGGAGATTGGCAAAAGCGCCTTGAACTTTCGCTGCACGGTTTGTGATCCCATCTTCGATCACACGGGTGCTAATATAGCTGCCAAGATATTTGAATTCCTGAAAGACTTCTAGTTGATACCCATCAGAGGTCAGCGCACAGGTGGGTCATTGCCAATCTTGAAGAAGGACCCTGCATTTCGAGGGTACAAAACATAACCCGAAACGATTGACAGCCACAGTTAATTTATTCAGGGCTGACTGTCACGTCTGGGAGCTGGATAAACAGGCTCCCGGTGAATACGGAAGTCGCAGTAAACTTCAAAGGTTAGTTGTGTGTGAGACGATAGCGGGAAACACAAAAATTAGGTGAGCTTGTGTGTGTTGCATGTAGGTATCGGGCGCAAAAGTCTGTACGAACTAACCTTTGGCTGCGAAATGAAGCAGTGGAGAGCTTGGGTGACGTCTGACGCATGTAAAGCTGTATGATAGGGGTTGTGTTGCCAGTAAACGGATTCAATGGCAGCTACAACGGATGCAAGAGAGAAATGGTGGGAACTGAGAGATGGAATCATATAAATTGAAAAAGAGAGTGTGGTGGATTGAACGCTGGTCTTTACCCTGAGTTAACGTAGTCGACTTGTAGAATACATAGGCAAACATTAAAATAGCGGTCGCAATTTTACGAAAAGGTGTTGGAATAGAACAGATCAAGATTTAAACACTAACGTGGTAAGGCATAGTTTCTACCAAACCGATAGCAGTCCGCGCACTTGATGAAATGCCACCCAAAGCTTTTGACCGGTTGTAGCGTGGATAAGCAACAACTGTGAATAAAGCTAGTCTCATGGGATATTCGAGTGAAAGTCAGAGGCTACATCAGGTCGAGAAAAATGGGCACGTTGACATCACATCGAGGCATAGCAGTGATAATTGTTCACCAGTGAAATATATTTGGAAAAGAAATGAGTAGCAAAGGTTGTTTATCAGGTAATATGAAGGAATGGTGGTGTGGAATTCATTAGGATGCAATGAGCCGCCCGTTAGAACCCACTCGAAATTCAGCAACGACGATACCGATTAGCGAAAAAACAGCGAGTAGCACAATGTGACAGATTGTACGGTAAAATTGGGATGCTTCAGACGAGAAGGCGATTGTGAAAGGTAGCAAGCAATCGGTAAGAAGTTAAGGACTACAAACGGGGACCAGAAGCTCATCCGATGAGGATAATGTTTCGAGAAGTGATTACTACTAGCCGTTGGCACATTAATTATGCGACGATTCGCAAAGACAAAACATTCTCTGACTCAACATTCGATGTAGAATGAGTGTGACAGTATACGTCGAACTAATGTCGACGGGGGTAATAGAGATACACAAAATGAAATTCCAGCTGTCTGAAAATGCGCATGAAGGACAGTAACGCAGTGACTACGGTGCGAAAATGGCTAAAAGCATGCTAAGTAGCCGGATCCACAGTATGCAAGGCACGGCAAGCGAAGCAACTGGAGTAACTTAAACCCCGTTTCGCCGCCATGGAAGCAAACAACGTGAGGTGATCGATATGGTTGGTCGCTAGCGTCCGAACTGTATGCAGGCGTCTGTGACTCCGTTTTCTGGGTCAACGTGGGAGCGTGAAGATGCATGGGGTCGGAATGGTTGCTGTCAAATGCATAGGTGTGCATCCAGGTGTTGTGGCTGGGATAGCAAAAAGGACGGCCGACTGAATGGTTGCTACGCGGTTATTCAGTAAGTGCGAAAGTAGGTCGATCAAGACGACGACACAAAACATTACACAAAATGGGTTCTTGAATGCATGTAGACAAACCACATCAACATCGAAACGGTGTAAATGAAATCAGGCGTTGTTTGAAAAAACACCCTACACCGTATGCGTGTGACTGAGGCAGGGGACAGCCACAATTGGCGCAACACCCTTTTCGTTAGCTCAGAATGAAAAATATCTCTACGTTGACGAAGTTCATGTAAACAAGAGTGTAACAATCCCTTCGGGAGTGTTTGATTTATGCTATACGGAGGGGATGCATTGGACATCTCGCCCAACTGAATGGGGGAAACACAAAGCGTAGAATTAGACGATAGTTGACCACATTTGCGATGGGCATCAGTCACCAATATAGATTGGATTTTGAGGATAACATCGACGACATTCTGTCCCAGTTTGTGTGGCAACATCAGGAGAGTGCAAGTTTCGGTTAGCGGAACAAGCAGAAAATTAGGAAAAACAGGTTAGCAAAACAATTTTTCACTCTGAAATTAACCTAATGCGAAAAAAGTGTACGTAGGATGTGGTATTAACACTGAGGAATAGAGAGCAGGATGAGAAAACCCTGCGAAACCAAAAGGAAGTAAACTCGGTCAGGTGCATGGGATTTTCGGTTGGTCACTCGTAGGTCTCTGGCCAACTTAAATGAACCTCATCTTGGCAAATTGGTGTAGACAGCTAACGGTCATTTCCTCGGAAATGTGGCCAAAAGTTAGACCGGTGGCTTACGCCCGCGTTATAGTCATGAATTCATATGAACTCTCAGAAAGATGACAAACCAAGGTTACACCTTGGATCTGGACTTTGATGGTAGCCTGATCGTGTACGATCTAGCACCATCAAAAGTAGCAAAGAACTAGTCAAGGTGATTGAAATTTCGCGGCTTTCTGTATGAGCCAATTGCGCTGGTTGCCCTGCACAAAATATCAATCTGCCTTTGACAGATAAATCTGAATGAACTATGGATACGTCCGTAACGCGCTCAAAACAGTTCACCATAGAGACGTGAACTGGTCATAAAAGGTGACGGATGTACTGTGACGGATAACAAGAAACGATATAAACCATCGTTCGGTTTTCAAACCGAAGGGCACCTGTGAATCACATATCACAACCAAGGCGACAGATCGGCGCGACAGCTGAGACTATAATATCGAAATTGTATATACTGCGGAACTATAAAGCTCCAATTTTATTTCTGAAATACGAAACGACTTGGTATGTCTGAAAGAGTGGTGCTAGAGTTTCGCAACGAATTTTTTGATGGTTAAGTGCACTATCATGTGTTGAGGATGCTACGTTCCATTAAGAAGTCTTACGCTTCACACAAGTAATTTTATATCTGCGTCTGGATTACTCCCGTACAATTATTATTACACAACAAATTAGGCATACTGTGGCTGAAAGATGACAAACCATTGGAATGATTGACCAATTGGTTATAGCAAGTGAAGCGAAACTCCTGACTTTCGGATTTGATGCACGACCTAGTCTAGAATAATGTACAATCACTTTCAGCAGCATAAAAATAGGTGATAAACTGGAAATCGAAGCAATTCAGAGAACATTTACTGAAATACTCGTGGGTTGCACAGCTACTCTAGCTTACAAAGATAGTTGTTACCTGCTAAGTCCTGAGCCACTGTGGCCTAGAAGATTAAAATCAGATTGGTTTGCTCACAAAATTGTTTATCGACAGACGCATACTCCCTTTTACGTACCGAAAATCCAAGAACCTTCACCATGTAACCTGAGAAATAAAAATTATTTAATAAAAGTACCCCGCTATCGTACACGACTCTGAAGCAACCCGTTTACACTTAATTATCTATTGCGATCATCATCATCATCATCCTTATACACGTTAGCTAGGGGTGTAAAGCACCTCAGTTACTGTGCCGCAATACATTGCTATGGAGAAGACTGACGCAAGCCATCAGAAGTTCAGCTTACATTTAGGTAGTTAAAAAGCAACTAAACTACTAGCAAACTCTAAAAAACATCCAAGAATTGCTTTGCTTCAATTGTGCAGACAAATATGCATATGAATGCAGGAGTAATAATATCTAAGCATCCATCCTCTGCTCCCATCTTTCACATGTCTTTCCATATTGTTCAGTCATCCACCTGTACTTCATAATCTTTAATCTCTTCGAAAAGTTCTCATGCAGAGTGTAAGGAAGCACTTTTCAGATGGTCAAGCCGTTTAATCGCTGGAACATACACTTTTCCTTCCAATGTGACCGCCTGACCGCATCTCTCCCGTCTTCCCTGAGTTATAAACATACCAGAATGAGATATGCTCCGCTAGTTACATCATCGACATTTGTCCTTACATACGTTGCCGCTATGTATTTTATGGTGCGTCACACAACATGCCTGTAGCCATCAATCAATCCTCTCCAATGGGTTATGTGTAGTGTTATCACGAAGTATATAATTATCGTTATTGTTGTGCAATTGGTTTTACTCTTCGTTCATTGTTGACCATGAGTTGGCCTATCTCCTGAGATAATAGAGTGAAGATTCAAATCAATTGTGCTCCTCCGAGCTTGGCGGCTTGGTTGCAAACTCGGAGAACAAATGAACAATTGATTCATCCAACCCGAGCTACCAGTATTCTGAAGCTTCAAAGTTAATCAGTGTACCACGCAAGGCGAAGTGCCCATAAATCTACTGGCGGCAAAAAGTGCTATACTCCGAAGAGTCACATGAGTCGAATGGCTGAAGTGGCCACCATAAATACATATAAAATGGCCTGAGAAAGAGTTGAAGCGGTTATGGCGAGTCTGGTTTCAGCTCATACCGGAACGCGGTCGGATTGGGATTGAACAGCCTACCTTAATTACGAAAAATGGTCTGAGAGATGTATCAAAGTGGTGATGGTGTGCATACATTTAAAATAAACTGGCACATTGCCAGATGGGCGTGGAAGTACGGGTCAAACTTTTAGGCGGAATACACCGCAAAGAGACATTATAATTAGTATTATAAGTGTGATGGACCGGTTAGCTTCATTCTAAGTAGTCATGAAAATAATCGGAGGCCTCTAAGGAGCAGACAAGAATAAACTTAAATGAAAAACCTATCAACGTAAGGTTTTAAAAAATACAATCAAACCAGTCCAAGGCAACTACTCAAGGGACCGACAAAATGTGGTTGTCATAGGCAGGTTCGTGAATAGGGATATTACCCAGAGGAGAAAATGTTGGGCATGCTTTTCTCTGGTCAGCATAGCAGGCTGGACTGTAATAGGGATAGGGGGGGGAGAAATAATCGGCTAGAAGCAGAAAGAGCAAGTGCAATGATTTATCGATCACGCCTTGTTAGGTGGAGTCACTAATCACTGAAGCGACAAGACTTATTGCCCTCATTCAGAAAGGTGATACACTCATCCAAGCAACTTGGTTTTCCATTAAAATGCTCAATATTTCACTACTGTGTAATCAACTAATCGCCCAGAGGAGTCAGACCATCGTAAGGCGCAACAGCGAAACAGCACAGAACTATTGATTAAGTGACCCAACTAAATGTGCCAGTGTTCCGTAGAACACATTGAATAAAACCCAACAACGGGTTGATGCATTGGTTCCGCATCTGATGCCAATTATGACAACGGCCGCTCTGCAGAGATCTGTCACACGTAAGTAGTAGCACAGGAGAACATATGTGCTATCCCGAGCAGGCACTAAGCAGTTCTTGAACTGGGAATGAGTTGGCCGCGGAGATAAATCGCAGC